GTGTGTGTGTGTGCAGGTGTATGCATAGCTGCCTGCATGTGTGTGTGACTTTTTGCGCTGTCAACACTGGGCACAGACCGTCATCGACTTCCGTCAACAAAAAGAAACAAAAAACTATCTGCTTGCATTTGTTAACTTTCTATTTCTTTTATTGTTGCGCACAAGTGCACAAAACCTTGCAGTGACTTATGCATATGTATTTGTACCTGCACTTATTGCACTTATATATTTGTATGTGTGTATGTAGACTAATGCGATTTCTATGCACTCACTCGTGTCCCGAACTCTCGGCCTATGCTAATATTTGACGACAAAAAATCAACTTTATTCACTTAAAAGGGTAAACAGTTTCAAATTATATATGCCTATGACGCAGCACGTCACGTTTCCAATTCAATTTAGTAGGTCCAAACCGGTTCTCAATATAACAAAACACAACCGCACCGCTGGAAATTCAAACGACAACTAAAACGTTATAAGTTTCGCGCGCTCGTTGTCAGTTTAGAACCTGAATTTAATTTCCAATTGTGTTTTTGTTGCTGCTATCCGACGACGCCGAACAACAGGTGTTGACGCCGGCAAATTAGCTGCCCAACAAATTAAGCTCACCCATTATAACAAAATGTCAATTCACAATTGTCAGCTGCTAACGTGCTTTAGATAGTAACAGTAAATAATTCGATAATTATATTACATAAAACTTTTAATGAGCCATTAACTTGACTAAATATCTTAAATTGCCACCAAAAAAAAACTTTGCCTGAACAGCTGTTCAAGTGCCGGCTTTCAGTGTGACCGCTTGCCACTAGCTCCAAAATGTTGGCGTTTCCATTCAATTTAAATACTAAAAGTTGCATTTGTAATTGACGTTACAAATGTCTATTGCACATTTTGAGTACTTAAGTAAAAAACTTATTTTATCTAGCTGTTTTTGCATTTATTTAATAAACAAAAGAATTACAGTGCATTTAACAAAAGTGTTATGTCAACTAATGTTATTGTTGTATAGTTTAAATTTGTATATATTTTATGTAAGTAGAACAAATTGAAAATCGAAAAAGAAGCTAAGCACAAAAACAAGAAATTCTAAATATATATGTATGTATATACGTACTTACAATAATTTGTAATTAAATTTTCATTTGCTAAATAATACAAGGATTTTCAAAGTGTTTCGTGGTATGTATGTGAGAGTGTGAGTGTGTTTATAATAATTGTATATATTCTTTATGCGTAGGTATATATTAATAAATCTTGAAATATAGTTTTGTTTAGTGCGCCTAAAATCTAGAAATAAAACATTTGTTTTTGAAAAAATGGGAAAAGAAATAGTGATTTCAAATTGTGGTCGAAATTCAAGTCTAAGTTGCAGCTGCCGCCCCATCCTGATGCACAGGCGATGCAGCAACATCCTTAGGCTGCTTTGACTGTCAATTCTCCATGGACATGTTGCCAATATCATCGTTAATGGCCAAAACTTGAGTGATAAAATTTTGATCGGACACCACTTCGTACAGGGATTTACATAGCTCCGTCAGCTCATGCAGCGACATATTCAACTGCGGCGCCAACTTCATCAGATGCTGCGACACATAGTCCGGCAGTTGCTAAAGATATATAGAAAACGGATTAATGGTCGGCTTACTTTCGTTTATATAGCTCAACTCACCTTGCCCTTGGCCACCTTAAAGGCGCTAAACATAAGCTTGGCCTTGACGCGCTGCTCATTGGGTCCATCGTAGAAGAGCGTCAGATGCGCTTCCTGCACATTGGCCACCAGCGGGAAGTAGAGTCCCGCATAGACGCGCCCCTTGGCGTCGCGCGATAGCAGCGAGCGGAAATTGTAAACCAAATTACGGCGCACTGTGACATCCACCGCGGTATTATATTCCTGTGCAATGTATATCAAGGATGTCTTGAAGCTGGCCTCATCGCCGCGTATCTCGCGCTCCTTCCACTCCACAAACTTCTCGCTGTGCTGGCTGAAGCTATAGCAATAGTCGCGCTGCAAATGCGGCTCCTTGGATTGATTGAACCAGCCTGGAGAGAGAGAAACAGAGAGAGTAGAAGAGAATTTAGTACATCTTCTTTATAGAGATTGTGGGTATTGTGGGGCTCACCTGTGTGTGGATAGCTCTGATCGCACATAATGGTCACGGCGCGTCCCACATGGTAGCCCGGATCCAGTATCATGACGCCGCGACGCTCGCCAATGGCAAAACGCATGGCAACCATGACGTGCTCCTTCTCGACACCCGCATCCGCCGAGTTCATGCCGTACTCCTCATCCATTTGCACATAATCATTGCAGTCGGCCACCTGCTCCTCGCAGGACACCACATAGAGGTAATGGCCCAGCTGGGGGAACATCTGCACCAGCCGCGCAATGATCTCAAAGGCCAGCGAGACGCACATGTGATGGCGCCGATTGATGGGCACATCATAGAACTGGAAGAAGCTGCGCAGATCGGAGCGCCGCGTGCGCTTGAAGCTGCGATAGAAATCCACGAAGAGATTCACCGTATTGTAGTGCGTCTCCTCCAGCATGCGCTGCAGCGCCGTCTCCACAATGCCATTCAGCTCCTCGTACTGCCAGACATTCTCGAATACTAAGGTCTCCTTGGCCGGCTCATCGGCGCTGCCCCAGTCGGGCAGCGGCAGGGGATGACCCAGTGGCCAGACTCCGTTGATCTGATTGTAGGCCGACAGATCATAGCCATCGGCCATGGCCCAGTTGGCGCCTGGGTGCTGCTGCTGCTGCTGCTGCTGGACAGTGGGTGACTTCTGTCTGGACAGCACCCGGATGATGTCGGAGTAGCGCTCCGATGCGTCTGCCACCGATGTCAGGTCGGTTGGCAGCCACTGCTGCTCCTCAACATCTTCTTCGTCATCGTCCTCGCTGGATGTGGAGGGCGTGCGCAGAGGCGTGGATCGTGTGGAAGCGCAACTGCTTGGCTTATCATCTTGCTCATTTGTGACACCATGGACTGTCGTAGTCAATCCCATGCCACGCATCGCATTCGCCAGCTGCTGCTCCGCGGAGCCAACGCCTCCGCCTCCAGCAGCGACGCTGCCAAAGCTGTCATCGTCGTCGACATCATCAACATCGACGGCATAGCTGGGCGTCGCTGCCGCACCATCCTGGCTGGCTGCAGCGGCGAGTCAGCTCGGCCATTCGGCACCCCAACGGCCCACGGTGGGCACGTAGCCACTTTCACAGTCATTGAATGTTGCTTCTAGATGAATGTTGATTGATGCTTGGGCGGCTGCGGCAATCGCAGTGCTGGCTCCAAGACTATTCAGCAGACTATTCCGGCCCTGCGCTCGGTTGAACAGGAGGTCCGGCTCGTCTCCAAATTTCGTTGTTAGTTTAGACTGATCTGTTGGGCAGATGAAGTTTGATTAGTTTTACATTCATATTTTACAGGTAATACGATTTTTTTT